TAAATGTAGAATGCTCTTATGTCAATAGAAGTAGCCGTAGCGCATGATTACATATCGACATAGAAGTTTGAAGTGTTCAACATCTTTACGTAAGCAGATCTTACACGAGATGATGTCAGTAAGACAGATGTTGAAACGTTTCTTGGTATCATCGTAGACCGCTCCATGCTGCAATGAATTGGAAGACTGATGACTTATTGACTACCACCACGACTGTAGATCAACACCGTAAAATTGTCAAATCTTATTAATCACCAGTAACAACTGCGCTCATGTGATATTCCCGTGCGATTGCATGAGAATGACAGACTAGAGATGTTTTAGAACCTGATTTTGGTATCAAAACAGATTAGGCTATAGCTGGGAGAATTTCTTTTATCTTTTTAAGGTTAGAGCCTGATAGTAAAGTTATTTATCTTCCTGATCAATTTTCATTTTTGCGATAGAAAGGGGTGGGGAGGAAAGAGAGATTTGCATGCAGATAAATGTGACAGCAATTCATCAATCGTAGAAATCGAATCGAATGCTGCTTGCATTGGTTACAAAGTTATGTTACAACTACAGGGCTTTTACAAGTATCCAGCTTTTGTTAGCTTGATAATTCTTTTCGATCCTGAAACAACAATTGATTCATCTTTTAAATAAGCATAGATATCAAATGTATTCGACTGTCAGCCATCTTCATTACCATACTTAATATTTCCCAATACAACATGTCTATTTTACTGTACGGTTGGTACTTTGTAAGCCTTTTATTATCAGACATCCGTTTTCAGCTATTGTAAAAAGTCACATTTGTATTGATTCTTGATAGCAAAGTACAGGAAGTTAACGTCGTAATTAATTATAAGGTTATAAAACAAAGATCGATTTGATGAAAAGTATCACGTTACAAGCGTACTATTTAATACTGAGAAGAATTATTATATCACCTATAGTGTAGACGTGTAAAAGTATCTTGAGAATGGCAGGATCAATTGCGCTACGTCGTAATTATTTTATAACAGCAGTTAAGACCGACTAATAGCGATAAATCATAACTCAAATAAAGTGGTCAGGTTTATAATACATTATGGACGTTCAAAGTATCTTGAGGATGGCAAAATTAATCGCGCTACTGTTGGATGAACTCACCTTGATTCAATAGCACTCGATTGTTGACTATGAATACTTGTATTGCGATTAGTGTGATTGAATTTGAATGCATAGCCAGCATTTACATCCCTAACATATTAAATGTATGATTAGCAATTAATTTCATTATGAAATTGGATTGTCTCCCAAGGTTCATTATTATATATATATATGTATATGTATATATATATTTATGATTTCATTATGAAAACTACCGCTTGATTCATTTTGTACTGTAGTATTGCTTAAATTCTATGGGTCATTCACTATAATACACAGACTAATATGCTATAACTTCCTTCGTAAAATTTCTGAATGGATGTGATTCTTGTACTTTATTTCTTGGTGATAACTTCTTAAACTATCATTTATACCCTTGTTTAAGTACATCGATTAATCACCGATATTCAACATGTATTCATATCATCATTATATTAAGTAACGTTAATACTATAACTTTTCATTGTTGAAAAAAATACCCAATTTGCGCTAATTTTAAGTTTCACAAGCTGTAATCATGTGCCAATCTCAGCATGTTCTTTTCATTCTACGCCGTATTGATTTTTGCAATCAAAGTACTAATCGATACATACTGATAAAGCGAGGTGGTTAGTTAAGTCTAAAAAAGTAATATTGATCAGTAAAAATTGATTTTGTTTACACTTACTCATTTTATCTGTGTGATAGTTGACGTAATGAAATTAATTTACAGTAGAATTTGATTTATAATACGGTAGATAGTATGGATAAACTTTGGTATCCTATACAGTACATTGGATTAATGTCGTTATAAATTACAGTACTAGAAGGGCCACAATTGAGTAGTCAATGATATCAAGATTAGTTGGTAAGGATATAGGAAAGCGAAATCGCGCTACACTCTTCCTTTCAGTTTGGATCTGCAGCTTAGCAATACGTGGACATATTAGAAATGTAAAATTATGAAAGTGATCGTTAAGTCTTGACATTATAATTTTTATTTAAATATACTTTTATCTTCATCTCTTAAGAAGTTGTACGTAAATTTTAAAACTCCCGAAATGATAACGATGATATCTACACTAATCGGTTTAGTTCTTACATGAAAGAATTTATAATGACATTTTAAGTTGATAGAGTGAACTCATTAATAGATGATTTCATTAATACATGAATATACAAATCTATCTCAGTATATTAGATCCCAACAAATTTTACGTCGAAAATTGATTACTTGACTTGGTAATCTGTGACAAGTAGATATTTTGATTGAAAAAGTACAGCTTCATTACCAATACGCTGGGTTAATTAATAATTTTCGATAGTTAATTAAGAAATTTAGATGAGAATATGTGAAATACATACGGTATATTTACCTGTCCTCACTCAATAAAACCTTAGGCCGTATGATGGTGTCATGCCTGATAGTAAATTATATTTCACTGTAAGTAGATTTATCAAAGATGTCCTTCGTCCTTGTTGTAAAACGGCTTACTGATGATAACTCTTAACTGGTTATATCAGTACTCCTTAATTTTAAACGCCATTTAAGATGCCCAAGATGTCACATCGCGTTACACTTTGTTGCATAATTCGCACTACAATTTCAAAGTAATCTTTACTTTTAAAGATTGCAATTTTTTGATTAATTCTGCTGACTTATGCATTGTCTTTTTGGACGAAAACGTGGTATAGCATGTTTGAAGAGCGTTTTAATAAATAAATAAAGTCAGAAGTAAATTTGAATTGAAGGCACCATCATTTGTTACGTACTCTTTTTACATGGCTAATAGTCATAACGATCAGTATTCAAAATCCTAATCAACAGCAGTTACAGTACTTATTTCAATGTATTGTTCATTGGATATTTGCAGAAGTAGTTAGATATCATTATTCGTGATTAATATACTACCGTACGATACTGTGCTTGTACGTACGATGGGCTGAAGAGAAGTACGAAAGAATACAGAATGCATGAATCAGACTCACTAAATCTACTCAGGGCTGCTTAGTAACATTCGTACGTTTTAATAACTTGGAAAGTTTTGAAAATTTACAAATCCGTGTATATTTGATCTCGAAATACGTAAAATTGAAATCTAAAATCTATTCCTATCCCGAAACAAGAGTAATTACAGGCCATTTACAATTTTTATACAGTGGTAAATTTTTAAATTACTACCTTGAAATATTACAAGCCGTTACTCAGCTTCAATCATAATACTCGCATCCTGTAGAGTATATACCATGTTATATATACCATATCCATTCAATACACGTATGGCCCAGATGTAAATACTCGTAAGAACTTACGTAGAACTTGGAACGCAACTCTGAAATATGAATGACTGACTGCTTTAGCAAACTCAATACTGACAAGATATTGATATAAGTAAAGATAAACTATCATGTTAAATGGAGTAGATGCCTAACAATGGAGTCATTATCATATTTCGTTACTAGATGACGTTGGAGATCCCTTCCATTTGCATTGGCTAATATCTTAATGACGTAAAACTAGCTTTTATAGTACGAGTATTGATGTAATATGATTAAACGCTTCCTTGTTACACCCGTTTTTGTCCTATGTAATGAATTGATCAGTTGATGCTTCTACGATGGCAATAGTTATCATTATCATCCTGATTTAAGTTTACGACAGCTAAAAAAAAATTGACAATATGAAGTAAGCAGTTTAACTGCTAAATACTCGAGTTTATAATCATCATGTTGCATGTTACATTTGCTATTACTAGATGATACAATGATTAAAGCCATGCCTGATTACTATACAGTGCTAACAGTAAACCGGCGTTTTGTTGTTTCGCCACAATAATCACCTACAGTTGTGAAATTGTGGCATTCGTTTACAAATCTTAGAAAAGATTAAACTTGATGAAACATGAGTCTCTTATAGTCTATGTTAATTGAGATATATTATCTGGTATCTCTATACTAATAGTTGAAATTTCTCATAAAGTTGGGAGATTACAATCTAATTCGTATTTGTATTTTTTGCTTTTATTACTGATTATTGTAGCAGGTTGCTATAGGTCTAATCGTAGATAGTTATTGTGCAGCACTAATTTATATTGTTATTGCTAGTACATTGTGATTTATACAGTATTCCTTAGTGCTACATTACAGCACTTTTTAGTGCTTTTATAGCAGGCGTGTCAAGTAAACAATTTTACTAATATCGCACAGAAATCATAGATGTACAGTAGATGAAAATAGTGATACATAGCGGTACAGTAATTAAACATGATGATGGCTAGCGCTAATTCTGAACGTTTTCTAACATCCAAGCTATCCAAATACAAACTACACGTAGATTAATGAAGTAAACTGTGCTGCCTTATTCCTACTAATCTAGATGTTCATAGATTAAATTACTATTACGTCAAAAGTACTCTTTTTATATTCAAATTCGGCTTATTACTCTATGGCGTTAATATTGACAGAGTGCAGTACGGTTATAGGTGGCTATTCATGCATTTATACTCTTTCATATAGTGCGATCGTATGTAATAGACATAGTTGGTATTTATGAGTGTATCAATCGGGGGGTATCGGGCGTTAACCAGTAAAAAAAGGAAGTACTACGGTACTTAGATTAAACTCTAAACTGCAAATATATTATAGGTATAGCGTTCCATACAGCAGTGCAAGCAGTGGAATATAGTACCGTTAACATATTACATAGACGTGATCAAATCTGTTATTCGGGACTACGATAATCTCTTACGGTATTTTCTTCTGGTCTCTCAAGCGGTCATTTTTCATACTAGTTTTTTGGGCTTTCGAGTATACAGGCATTTTTAACCTTTTGATAGTAAAACGATAAGTGTTGAAATAGTCGTTAAACGATTAAATTACTGCTAAATATGGGACAAGATGAGGTAGATGGGAAACACGGTAAGATCGTTATTTAATGATTGTGTTTAAAGCAATCGCGATGTTAATCAATTTTTTAATTCGCTATATCATCGAGTCTACTATTAAAGTGTAGAATTTTGATTACGAATTCATTTGCTAAGTCGCTCTAAATTCGGCTATGATGAGCAAGTAACATAATTAAAAGTGTACAATCATATACGTATATGTTGTAACTTAGTTGCTATTGATAACGAATGAATCCTAACACAAACGCTCTCTCTGAGTAAAGCAAAGTACATCGACTTGATGAATTCGCCATCATAAGCAAGATCAATGAAAAAAATTTGATTGAATCAACAATATGGCGATCATTGAAACTGTAATAGGTTTTTTTGTTGAACTATACCGATCATTGCTATATAATAGTTTTCTCTAGTTGGATAGAATACTGTACTCTGTACAACAGTTGTTTTGCTGGAAAAAAATAATTCAATGTTCCATAGTTTTACCATTTCGTAACTTTAAATTATAACATTAACGACCGGCAATAGCATAAAATACAATAGTTGTGTAGGATCTTTAAAATATTGTAGCTGTCTCACAGCAAAATGACTTAAATTTATGTCTAGACAGGATCATATTCATATCCATGCTTAACAATTATTCCGTATACTCGTTATGCTGTAGTTGACAGCGGTCGAGCCAGTAATGAAATTAATAGCAAGATTCAATTAACATACAACTAGCGTTTATCGTTTATTCTATGCAGTTACGTTAATTTATTGTACTGTGTCGTTTCCCTTTCAACTCGGTTAAAAAATCAGACCACTTAGAGAAATTTTAGCAGATTGTACAACTAGAATTACACCCGTTTATCTTATTTGTTTTAGTTAATTGTAATGTTTTCTTGTTGAATAAAGCTATCGAATCATACATGAAATTTAATCATGGGTTCATTCCATCGCACTACTAAACACGAAAGATTTTACTTATTGTATTTAAAAAGCTAAAATCTTTAAAATCTTTAACTTAATTCAGCTTCTTAATTGTTAGTGGTAGTTATTACATTATCCTCTATTTTGATACCATATTACCAGAAATTAATCACGGTCATGTTGCCATGATGTTATTATTCAGACATTTACTATTTCTAATGTTTCTTGATAAACTGAAATAAAAGAGGATTAACAACATTTTTAATAACTAAATATTCATCCATTATTAGGTAAAGCAAAACAGCATGATCCGGACTTTAAAGGCCCCATCGCAAACCGGTAGGATATACGTAAATCGTTGCACTATTACATAACACACTCGTACCATAGAATACTGTAGACAGATTCATCATTACTTTAATTATCTTCTGATACTGTAATAAATAAATAATAATTCCACAAGACATTAATTCCTATAATATTTAAGATGAAATTGATACGGTAAGTATTTACTACCTGTAACCAAAAATTATGGTATTAAGTACAATATTACTAATCTATCCGTTCTATTATACTACGTAAGTTTTACGCGTAAATGTGTTGCAAATTTCGCTACCATCTACCCTATGTACGAGGCTAATTTAATTGCTATTTTATTCTATTTTAGGGGCTGCACTGATATCATTTGCTGTTTACTATTCACGGCTTATGTGTTAGGATTATTCGTATTGGGTGTATTTGGTAAGAAAACACATCGAAATTAAAATTTGATAGTAATCTTGAATGTATTAATACTATCTGGTTAATTTATATTATTGGCACATAAATTCTGTTCGTACATCATATATTTGGATAAATACCTCATTTATATGTAAGTCGTGAATCAATTTTTTTAATTAATATTTATTCCTGTCTAGCTTTCATTAATGGCAATCCATCACGTTTAATTTATCCTACTGACTCGTATGGTAAATTCACAATGATTATATCTATCTTTATTTGACATAATTATTGGGGCTTTAGACTGTTAATGATACTTTTAACTTAACTAACTAGGAAACTTGTGCGGTAGCGGAAATATGGCGTAAGTAGCAAAAATATTGTGTTTTGTACAATATATTTAGAGTTTTACTTGTTTGATTTACGAATTTCTTATACGTTATTCCATAACAAATATATGTGCTAAAGTAGTTCAGTACTTGGCAAGGCATTACAGTAAAAAAGTTTGTAATTTCTATTAGGGATAAACCATATCTACTATTTTTTAATATCATGGAGTGTACGAAAGCCAGTGGTGTTTTTCAGTTTCAGTGTCCAACACAACAGGTCAGACTTCATTATCATGTAGCAATATCCTGGTAAAACACATTTTTTACTAATAAAAGGGTTTTAAACTATCTTTATGATATCCCATGATAACAGAAGTGTCTCACTCGATAACTTTTGATTCTTTGTAGATTTGTGTCAAGAGTTGTCCTACGACCAACATGGATGGAATTCGATCACCGGCTAATGAAACTGTTTGTGTCTATCATGTAACTGCTTCCAGTCCATCTTCAACTGTAAGTTAAAGCTAAAATAGAACTTCCAAGCAATAGGATGTGGTCTTGCTTTCTTAGTATTTTACCTCTGCTTTAACTGTACTATTGTCATTAAAATATAGGATCGAACCAATCAGGTTCGAGATGGTGTATGTGCACCATTTTATCTCAAGAGTACTTCACGTAAGTATATAAATACTGTACGATATCAAACGTTTTTATATCCTCAAGCTGTATAATGTCACATTAAATTGAAAACTTATAATTTCGGTTATTGTAGAGGTCAGACGCTGCATCCCTGATGTAATACAAAATTCAACAAGTGCAGTGGTAGACTCTACTACCGGGCAAACTTTGAAAACTCCTACAGGTGACCCGTTCTCATTGTCAGATATTATAAACGGCGAAAGGTATTATAAATACTTGGATTATTTATGATGTATGCGTAAGTCATGGTTATTCTCTGATGTAACTTTCCATTTATTCTTGCAGTGGCGTTGCTAAGTTCTTAAATGCTCGAGTAATTGGTACAGCGGTAAGATTCTTATAATAAACGATTACGCATTTGTCCCTTTAAAGATAAAGATAATATTACTTGATAAATACCCTATAGGAATGTCGACTTATTATTATTAAAAATTTAAACATATTTTCTTTTTAGGTGGTATCAGATATCAACAATACTTGGTACTTAATTCTTGGGTATGTTGCTTTAAATTAAATGAATGATTATATACAGTATTAACGACTTTTTATTGCAGTATTTCGTTACTGTTAATAAAATGATATTGGTTATATTTATCATGATTAACTATTGATCTTTGTGTATTACAACGTTTAGTGCTGTTGGTGTCGCTATGGCTTGTTCTCTTGTTTATATTCTTATCATGAGGTAGATATAGGATAGATAATATGTATATAATTAATATTTTGTATAAAATCTTTATAATTAGATTGTAGTGGAATGAAATAGTACAGTAATGATTCAATATTCTAACTGATAAGTATGAAATTTACAGATGGATAGCAGGTCCCATGGTATGGTTGAGCATGTTGGGATTAGTTGCAACATTATCGTATAGTAAGTAATCATTTTCGTTGTATAGTGACGTATTATTTAATTATTAAAGGAAACAACATAAATAGGTTAGATCTGATATTACAATTTCATTATATATTTATCCCTATTTTGTTGTATAACATAGGTGGTTATTACTGTTTCAATCAGTACAGTATATTAAATGCTTCCAATAGCAGCATCAGTTTTAGTTTTACGACAAGCATAAAAGAGTATGGACAAATGAAGGAAACGTGGCTCGCTGGAGGTAAGATAAAGACATCATTAACGTTTTTCTTAAAACTAGATAAAATGAAAACATTCAATTTTGATATACCTTTGTTATACTTGCAATTGGGTGATAATATCTGTAATCATAGAAAATAAATTAATATTTCATTTTGTGTGCGATAGGAATTACCTCTGCTGTTGTAGGTGGCATCATTCTTCTTATTTTAATCTTCTTACGTGATCGTGTTAGCATCGCAATAGAACTAATTGAAGAAGCTAGCCAGTAAGCACTATATTAATAAGTAGCTTATTTTGGCTACGATTTGACTAATTAACATTATAAAGGGTTTGAAAGAATTCTTACTATCTTTTTAAGTCTAATAATCTCATTGTTATTAGGGCTGTTCGAGCAATGTGTTCGACTATTTTTTTCCCACTATTTTCATTCCTGTTGCAGCTTGCGACAATTGCCTGGTGGGTTGGCGTGGAACTGTATCTTAACATAAATTATTGTAGCATGAATACCGATTATAATCTGTGATCTTTTGTTAATGTATTATGAGATTTTTCCTTAATTTGTTGAAAGCTTTCTTTTATCCGCCGGAACAAAATTGTACGAAGTTACTTTAGTGCCAACGTCGGCAAATAGTAATTACACTGCGGCATCAGTTTGTAATCCTGCCGTAAGTTAAAATCTTTGTATATATCATTTTCGTCTTGGTATAAGCTTATGAAGGTTAATTAATTTAGAACTAAGTGCTTGCATTTTATATTTTTGATGGTATCTTAGAATTTCAGCCTTAGTGAGCTAAGTCGGGGAGTAATTTGTCAGTTTGTCAATTATGCTGGTGCCAAGTACGATAAGACAAATGATGTTATGGTTATAATTTTTATTACCGTGTTGCGGATACTTGTAGAGCTTATGATATCATAACTATTGCATTTTAGTGCGTACATATACATGCAAATTTATCACCTTTTTGGTTTCCTTTGGGTGCTAAATTTTGTTATTGCACTGTCTCATTGCACACTTGCGGGGGCATTTGCTTCTTGGTATTGGGCATTTAATAAACCAGAGGTGAAGCCATTGCTGTTCTTATCGCGATTTTAAATTATTTACTTCCAAAAAGTGAAGTTTTTCATAAACGCGTTTATTCTTTTATACATTCACAGGACATTCCATCGGCTCCTTTATTGGGTTCATTATGGCGTTGTTTCAGGTTTGATAACAGTTATAATTTTTATTTTTAGACCATACCTGCTGGGAGTTACAGTAATATAGAAACTATCCAATTTGTATCACCCTGTGAGTTAGATATCATATTGGCTCATTGGCTTTTGGAGCACTAATTATCGCTATTGTTCAATTAATTCGAATTATTATTGAATTTTTGGAAAAACAACTTCGAGGTTGGTATTTGCTAATTATCATAAAATATTTTATTCATTTCGTTTTTACCGATAGTAATGATGATCCTATATGTTTTACTGTCTTTAAATAGCTGGTCCGCATGACAAGGCAAATCCTATACGAGAATTCTTCTTTAAGTACGTACTAAATTTATTTGCATGCTTTTTATTTATTTTTGAAGGTTTTTACGATATACTGTATCGTTTATGAGATAACGACAGATTCTAATAGCAAAGTATAATTCATATATAGTTGTCTGAGGTGTTGTTTTTGGTGCTTGGAAAAGTTTCTCAAATTTATTAACAAGAACGCATATATTGAGGTCTGTATAGTTATTATATTTCATGAATGCTTTGACTTAAATAATAGGTGCTTTTTGTTAAGCATTGTGGGATTCTGTACTTGATTTAGATCGCCATATACGGCAAGAACTTTTGTATTTCGGCTAAGAATGCTTTTAGTTTATTACTGCGAAACATTTTGAGGTATTCGAAAATAATTGTAAGCAAGCCTTACACAGTGATATCATGTTAGCTTTATATTACAAAATTTAGGGTTGCCATCGTGGATAATGTTACTGCTTTCTTGCTATTCTTGGGAAAGTTATTAATTGTGGGCATTACTGGTAAATTCTTCTCTCTTGACGTGATCTTAAAAGGTATATTTCTTTATACAAATTCTTCGTATCTAATATTTATATTTACTTTCAGGAATTGCTAGCTTCTATTACTTCAGAAATCGAAGTGACTTAAATTATTACTTGGTTCCTGTCATCGTAAGCGTAATAATTATCATTGTCATTACCCTGATATAGTACATAGATTATTATCAGCTAGTAATGATTAATAATGATGCTCTTTTATTAAATATAGATCATCATTATATGCGCATATGTTATTGCAAGTGTCTTTTTCGGCGTTTATGATATGGCCGTAGACACACTATTCCTTTGTTTCCGTAAGTTTCGTACGATATATGCTTGTTTGTATGACATTGACTGCACTAGGCCGTAAAATATTCATAAAATATTCTACTTCCGTGCGCAATTATAGTGGAAGATCTCGAAAGAAATGACGGATCCACTGAGAAGCCATATTTTATGTCAAAAGATCTCAAAAGGATCGTTCACAAAGAAAATGAAAAGCCTAAAGATGAGGCCGACAACAAAGCCGAAATGGCCGAAGTTGCATAAAATTCTACATGCTAATTATAATTTTGACTTAACAATCTCAGAATCATTAAAAGGCTTCATTTGGTGGATTGTTTTTACGTTACTTGTGGATTTTAATAATAGCGAAGATCAAAGTGGTTAATGACATCACACGTATTGTATATGTGTGAGTTCACGTTTTCGTAAAATATAGAATATTTGTAATTAAGGTAGCTGCGTTATATCAGAATATGTCTTAGATTAAACGCGGATCACATTTTAGAAGATGTGCTAATTTTAATGGTGTTTGTATTGCTGTAAGACTTTTTAAACGTTCATTCTCATGCTGTTAGTCGATCATTAATTCACTGTAATCAGTATTAATATTACCATTTACCAACCTGCTTGGATAGTTAAGGTGTAACTGATCGGTGAGTAATTTTTTTCCGTACGTATACGTTGACGACAATTTAGCAATATGTCATAGATAATTGCAGACCTGGTGTGCTACAATACTTATTCTGCTAGTGTGTCATTATGAAATACATGTTTTGCATTAATCTTGCTCGGAACGTTAAATAAAAATAATTGCCTTTAAGCTAGAATTTCTTTCAATATTAGCTTGATTTCATTGGTTCATTTTTTAGTCAATACCAAATTAGTACATAAAAAACGATTTTTATTTATGATTTCGTAATTAATTTCTGTATACAGTACAGTATCATTTTTTAATGGTAAATTTTTACTTCGGTAAGAAATTGTTTATTTATGAGCTGAGAAATATAATTGATATACTCGCTATATACAGTGCATTATCTTTTAGACAAGATATTATATTAACTTATGAATATCGTGATAGAAAACTAGTAAGTGCAATATGCCATAATTTAACCGATGAGTGCGAATCGGTTACTACCATACAATTTTTAAGTATTAGAGTTATTCGATTTGACCGCACTATTGCTTGCAAATTAATGATTATTTTGCAAATGAAAGTAAAAATAAGTTAAGATATACTGCTTGGCTAAAATTGATGGAGAAAATCAGTTGAAACATGGAAATCTTATGATTGTAAAAATAATAATGAATTATTCTTGAATAGCGCAGTAAGGTATTTAATAGACTGTAAGTACACTCACAATCATGGTGGTGATTGCTAATGTGTTGCTGATATATTAATGAAAAATAGAGCTCAAATAGTAGCTTTACAGACGCTATTTAACAATTTTTGTAATTTGCCTTTTTGAGCAGAAATATTGAAACAATCCTTTTCAAGTTTTTTACGATTTTGTTCCGAATTGTATAGTTGTTTAGATAATTTACAATTTTCCAAGTATAATTCGGATACTAAGATGTTATTGCGTTCGGTTTTATTCTCAGCTTCAATAATCTAAATTGAACGAATAGGTAGATAATAGAAGCATTAGGTTGGTCACTGGTAAGGTAAATATTGAACAGGCATATCGATCTAGTTGAGTTAATTAATAGATATTATTAACAAGACTAGTCTTAAACTGTCATACCTGTGCTCGCATCAAACTGATGTGACTTTCCATTGCATCGCGCGTTTCCTTTAATCTTAGACATAACTCTTCTTTCTCACGGAGTAAGTCACTTTTATCGCGTAAATGTTTCTCGATTTCGCGTTGGAACTCTTGCCGTTGCATATAACCTCCTGCTGCATAGCTTTCCATTTCTTTCTTTAATTGCAAATAATTGGTTTCCTTATCTAGCAGCTGTAATGAATGATACGATAATAGATACCCAGTTCAGTACTGATAAAGAGTTATAGTTATCATAGGTAAGTAAATTAAGCAATAGGTTATCTAGCTAGACTGATAATTTATATAAAAGCTTGCATGTCATTAGTTGAAAAATATCAGCTGTGGATATCCTACCTTATTTTTTAAAAGCCCTAATTCTTGCTGTAAAACATCCAGTTGCGCTTTCTCTTCCCGTTCTTTTTGTTGAATTTTCTCCGATAATTGGGTTACATCTAGTCGATGTAATTGCTTCTCGTTATTTAATTCCTGGACAGCTTGTTGTATCTAACAAAGATAGAATCAATATGATTGTGATTAATAACAATGATAATATCCCATTGCTTATGCTATGATTATGGACAAATTTATTTAAAAAGATATTTTTCTCTATTAACCTTATTATTGGATTCTTTCATTTCTTTTTCGGATGATTGTAGTTTGTTTTTAAGTAATTCAATTTCATTTTTAGATGCTTCTTGTATAGACGAAATTTGTTCCATAGATGATGCGTTTTGTTGCAATCTTTGCTCTAGTATTTGCCTTTGAGAGGTAACTTTAACTATTTCCATTCGCAAGGACTGTATAGTAATCTACAGTAATACAATCAAGAGTAATATAGAATTTTTTTATTAATCCATTAATAGTCTTACAGGATCAATTCCATTGAAATAATTACTAATTAATCTAGCAATTTACTTACTTCAGACTTGATGATTTTTTCTCTTACTTCAGTTACTTCCTTTTCACTATTTTGATATTTCATTGTCAGCCGATCCATTTCCATCTGATATGCAGTTGTTTTTGCTGATTCTTTTTCAAGGCTTTCCTCTTTAGACTAAATAATTGAAGTATTAATTCTTAATCGTCTTATTCTACTATTGAGCACGAGTAAAGTTATGGAATAACTAACTATGTAAGCACGGTAATAGATATTACACTATACCTTTTCAATCTCTTTGATGGTCATTTCGAGACTATCAATATTATCTACCAATAACTTATTTCGTTCAGATAATTGACGAGTTGATTTTTCCCAATTGGCTTTTTCTCTATAAAATTATAAAATAATTAAAAAAATAATGAAGTCGATATAGAACTATTTACCTAATAGTATACTATATGAATAATATAGTGAACAAATTATATTGCATGAACTAGAACATATATATCGATAGATATCGACAATTAACTTACAGATAGTGCTCTTCAATCTTTTCTTGCAATTTTTTGGTACCTTCTTCAGAACTATTACCAACCAATGCTAATTTCTCTTCAAATAAGGCAAGTTTAGTCTCTAATTCGATATTTTCTTGCTGCATACGATTTAATTCATTTTGCACTTGTGAGCATTGGTTCATTAATGATTCACGTTCCGTATGCATAACTCGCATAATTTCAGCTTTATCTGCTTGATGTTCATCTTTCATAGTTTGATTGTCTAGCATTAATTTTTTCTTGTCAAGATTTAATTGATCGATTGATTTTTGCAGCTCTTGGCTTTGATGTGAGATAGCATTGCTTTTAGCCTTTTCCAATTCATCTTTATCGCGATAATATTGCTCCATTAATTGTTGTATCTCAGCACGATGTTCTTGTTGCAATAATTTTTTCAATTCATCTTTATCATGTCCATGCTGTTTGCGTAAATCTTCCATTTCTCTTTTCCATTTGTTCTCTTTCTCTTGTAATAGTTGTTCAAATTTTAATTTCTCTTTATTAATATTATCCATTAATTCTTTTTGGTGTTTCGCTAACTCACTGGATTGATTACGTTCACGTTCTAATTTTATTTTCTCATCCAAAGTTTGTTTAAATTTAGCTTCCAATTGGCTCTTTTCTAATTCCAAACTATCTTTTTGCCGTTTAAACTCTTCATCTAATTTAATTTTTTCATCCGCTAAGACACGGCTTAATTCCTTTAAATCCTCTTCATGTTGTTGCTCTAAATCTTGACGTTTCTTTTGAAATAAAGCTTCAAATTCTTCACGTATTTTCTTACCATCTTGATTCATTGATTTCTCTAACACCGATTTCTCGTTATTGAAATTTTGCTGTAATTCATTAATTTTCGATTCCAATGATTCTTGATGTTCACTTTCTAGTTGTTCTTTTAATCGATTTTTTTCACGGGCAAATCGATTCTCTAATTCAAGGCGTTCTTTTTCATAATTTGCTATAACGTCCATTTTTTCTTGATTTTTTTCCTCTTCTAATTTACTTTTATCAGATATAAAAATTTCTTCTAACTGGATCTTTTCTTGAAGATAGTCTTCTTCAAGATCTTTTCTTTCCTTCTCAAAACGTTTCTCCATAGTTTCTTTTTCATCAGCATATGAATCAATAATTTGACTCCTTTCTTGATCGAATTCGTTCTCTAAATTTTCTTTCTCGATCTCGAAATCTTTCCTTTTTTGCATTAATTCTTTCTTATGAGATTTTATTAACTCTTCACTTTCTTTATTTAATGAAGCAATTTCATTTTCTAATTCCTCAATTTTGCTATTCAGGTCATTAATTAATTGATTGAGCTCTTCGATATGATGTTGTAATTGCTGCATTTCATCAGAATTACGACTTCTTTCTCCTGCTAATTTTTTTAGGTCGTCCATTTCACGTGCTAGAGTTTCACGAAGTTTAGCTGTTTCTCGATCATGAGTCTCATAAATTTCAATCTTTTCCTTAGTAAATGCATCATTTATTGAATTATACTTTTCTTTCCATTCTTCTACATCATTCTTTAAAGCTTCGACCTCTGTTAAAATGGATTCAAGTAGGGATATTACTTACTGTATTCCTACATCATTATAGTGCAATCTATGGATTTCAAATATCTACTGCTGGCTATTTCTATCAGATCGTTGCTCACTAATGACAGGGCAGTTGTACTCTTGACAACGAATTGATGTTACTATTGATTTAAAAGTTTTCTCGTACATCAGTTCAATTACATAAGTTTGAATTTGAATGATTGCTACTCAGGGCCAAAACTGCCCATTTGGGTAATACAGCAAGAAATTATTGACTCTATTGATGAGAAAGATCGATTTGACTACCGCACCACATAGAAATTATGGTTACAATTTGTATTCTAACGCTGAGATGATTAAAATTAGATCCTTTGCTCACTTTAGACCTTGGTACTCAATTAAGATTGCCGATTAAGGCAATTTAAATACTAATTAAACTGGATCATCTATCTTGCAATATCCTATCAAATTACATTACAAGAATCTATTCTAGTAATCATGCGAAATTGACGGGATAAACTGTTTGTGGTAC